CTTAAGAAATCCTTTGGCTGAGGGACATGATGACTTTGTGACTCCCCATGTCGAGGGGCCAATTTAGAAAGGACGTCCCCTGTGGAGTACACTGGGTAAGAAGGGACATTTTAAGCAAAAAAGTAATTTGCTCTGCCAATAATTTGCTAAATTCCCTTTGCTGTTATTAGAGACAAATATATTTGCATAGCAGCCTTTTCCCCAGTCTTTTCTTCTGCTCGTGCCTGCGGTGAGTCATATAATTAATTTGGTATTATATGACACTCCAGCCTGTTGCCATAGATTTTATTTTTATCTGTTCATTGAATAATTGAAAAAGCTCCAACAAAATACCCTCAGGTGGCTGGCGAGGGAAACTTAAAAACTCGCAGAACAAATTTCCAATGGGCAAACACTCCAAAGAAAAAAATTCTCAATAATAATACCTTTTTTTTTTTTTTTGCTGATTTTTAAGAACACCGATATGTATATTTTTTCAGTCCCTATTGTAAAAGAGGCTGATTCACTTTAGAGGTATGTTTATTTGGCCCATGGGACATTCTGTAAAAGAGATACTTAGTAGGTCTAGTGATTTATTTGCCACTTTAAGATGAATTGCATTTAAATTGATTGAAAAGATTTTAAGGCTATGGAATCAGCCAAAAATCTTAGTGATTGATCTGTATTTAAATTTCAGTATGTAAGGGCCTTTAACAAAAGCTATTTTAAAAGGTGTCTGTTCTTGATTTATTAAGTTATGTGATAAGAGGAAAATCCTGCCTTTTATTAGTTAAGATGGAAATACTAGTTACTGTAACAATATGCCCCCAAATCTCAGTGTCTTAACACAATAGAAGTTGATTTGTCCACTCAATCACAGCCCCCCCAACCCGGAAAGTGAGATGGCATTTCTGAGGAGCTCTGCTCCAAGCAGGGTGAGGGGTCCAGGCTCCTTCCATCTTGTGATACTACGTTACTCAAAATTTTCTGGCCCTCAGGGACTCCATGTGAGGGAAGGAGAAAGCATCATAGATTAAGCTGGGAGTTTCAGGTTAAAACATTTCCAATCGCATCCATTGGCCAGAACCAAATCCAATGGCCCCAGTTCGGTTGCCGAGGGTTTGGAGTCTCCATATGGGCCAAGGGAAACCGGGGTTCAGGAACATTTAGCCAGTCTCTGCCACATCTGCCCCCGCAGTCACTAGAGTTCCATTCGTGCTTCCTCCTCAGTCGGTCTGAGTACACGCTTGCGGTGGCGATGCCACACTCGCTCTCTGCTCATCCCCCTTTCCACGGTCTGCATTCTCCTACTTTTACAAAAGAAAAATTGACCTGTCACTTATCATCCATCTTACTATTCATCATTCCCAGGACTGTAAAGACCTCCAGGCACCAAACAAAGTGACAATTTGTAATATTGGTGTCAGGAAGTCTCCTTTAATCAAGGTACCATTAGCCCTCAGAAGGGCCTCCACTTCCTCTCCAGTTTACCAGTGTTCCTGTTATGACAGTTCATGGTGTGAGACCCGCTGTTTACTGGCCCCAGTTGGGGCGATCTGAATTGAGATCTATTAGAGAGCAGAGTTGCAGGAAGGATGCTAATTTTCATTTGATAGCCTTACCTCTACCATCAGCCAAATTTGGACCCATAGTCCAAGCTCTTGAGGGAGGTGCCTTTGGGAACAGCATAAAGAATATTTTTATGCAATACAGAAGGCAGTAGCATCTCTTTCCTTCAGATAACCAACAATATGGTGACATTCCAGATACCATCAGCTGCCCAACTGCCTGTCACTCTCTTTTTCCTTTAAACTATACCTTGTAATTCAAAAGTGAAATGACTGTTGTGCCAAAGCACACGGATACAAACCTTGGAATTAAAAAGTGAAATCAAGACTTTGTTTTCTTCCAGAAAGTTAATGTGATTAGGATGGTGAAACACCGGAGAGTGGCTTTGCCAGTTGTATTTATGATATGCGCTCTCGTCCTTCCTTCCCTTTTTCCCCCTAATTATTATTTTAATTATAGTCAAAGCAAATCATGCACAGAGAGTTTTAAAAGGCCAAAATATTATAAGGTTCATACCAAAATAATTGTACTTTTTCTGCTCTAAGTTTCCTCACATCTGCTAGCTCTTTTCTTCACAAGCCACCGCTTTTAAGTACTCTATTTATTCCTTCTGGCATTTTCTATCTATATTTTGCCAATCAATTTGTACCTATTGTTATTTTTCATTTAACCAACTCTGGGCATATTTTTTTTTTCATTTTTTAATTATAGTCAATGAGATTTCTCTCTCCTAAATGGTCGTCCCCTCTCCTTTATTTACTTATTCCTTTTTACATACGTGCTGCAATATTTGAATCAATAATCATTTAATTAATGTGCCTTCACATGGTAATGAGCTATGATTGTTTACTTTCTTACTTTTGGAAGTTATTAATTGCCTTGCCTTCATATGCTTACTTTAATTTGGATCTTTTGGATAACTGGTTTCCTACTTACAATTGCCTTTCAGCATAATTTTCCATAGGGCTAATTTCATCAGATAATTTATTAGTTACAATTATTATTATTTTTGATCTGGAGATTTCCATTCCCTTCTACTTACCCTGGTTTGTCGCCAAGCCCTGCTGAGTAGCTGTGAGCCAGAGATCTCCTTCACGGTTATACTGGGGATTCCTTTCCCCTCTCTCTGGAATTGCATCCTTCTTCCTCCATCCTACAGTTTGCTTATTTCCCTCTCATTTTACTAACACAAATCCCTCAGAAGGCTCATGATAAAGAGCATATGGGAAGTAAAATTACTGAGTCTTGATGTGCCTGAAAATGCCACCTTCACACTTGATTGTTTCCATGGGTTTAGTTTCAAGAAGGAAAATAATCCCCTTCACATATATTGTTTCATTATCTTCCAGTTTTCAGTCTTGCCTTTGAGAGTTCCAAAGCCATTCTGATCCCTGGTCTCTTGTAAGTGACCCCCCACCCCTTTTTTTTGGTATCCTTTCTTACTCTCTGGTAGTTTATAGCGTCTTCTCTTTTTCCAGTTTTAAAAAATATTTTTGGGTGCCTGGGTGGCCCAGTCAGTCAAGTGGCCGACTTCATCTCAGGTCGTGATCGCACAGTTCGTGGGTTCAAGCCCCGCATCGGGCTCTGTGCTGAAAGCTCAGAGCCTGGAGCCTGCTTCAGATTCTGTGTCTCCCTTTCTCTCTGCCCCTCCCCTGCTGGCAGTCTGTCTCTGTCTCTGTCTCTGTCAAAAGTAAAATACAAAATGTTAAAGAAAATATTTTTTGTGGTATAAATCTGTTTTCATTGACTTATTTAATTGATGGTTCTCTTCTTTCTTTCTTTCTATTTTTTCCCCCTTTGCTGTACGTCATCTACGTCGAGGGACCCAAGTTAAAGGAGGCTCAATCTCTGTGCTTTTATAGAAGAAGAAAAGGAAACATAAAATATGCTCTAGCTCTTAAAATAACCAACACAAGTGACACTCACTACATCATATGGGCAAAAGTCAGCCACGTGACCTCTCCTTCAGAGGGGCAGAGAAGTGGAGGGTTTCTTTGCCTAGGAAGAGAACCCAGAAACATCGGGGGAATGGCACTCACTAGCGATTCCGTATCTCAGGGCTGACAGTTCCTTCTGGGTCTTCTCAGCCTTCTGAATTGTGCACAGGTGTGCCCTCCAGCCTTCCCATTCTGGCTTAGGATTTGTCTGTTTCAATGGGCTGAACTGATTACAGCTTGTCAATTTTGATGTTGTTGCTGTCTTTTTTCCTATTCTTGCTGTTACTTGGGGTTATGTCTTGAAAAATTATTTTAGTTTTAGTGAGGTTTCAGAAAGGAGCGATGTTGGTTGCATGTATTCAATCTGACATATGTATCTGAAAAACTGTACTTGTAATTTCCTCTAAACTGAATGAGCTGATTCTGCAACTTTGTAGCTTTAATGAAAATGTATTCGAAGAATCTGGTAAGACGGATGTTTTATTTAAAAAACATACTGTCATGTTCGCATTGGTGTGGACAAAATTGGATCTTTCCAGTTCTTTCTTTGTATGTTGGATTTTGAAAGGTATTTTTAAATAAAAGCATAGTGATTATAAATAATAGTAATTTGTGGAGTCTTGGAAAAGCCGGTTTATTAAATTTCTCAGAGATCTATTACTTACTTAAGGATTGAGTGCTTACAAATTCTTCTGCAAGTCACATAGCTTCCAGTTTTTTGCTTTTATCAAAATTAAAGTTGCCACAAATTTAGTTGTTCTCTCGATTATCTGCTGCCACAAAAACGTTGCTTTGACAAACAACCACAAACTTTAGTGGCAAACTTCATTTTATTTATTACACATGTAGTTTTGTTCGTGAGTCTGTTACATAGATACCTTTGCCTGGGCAGATCTAACATGGGAAGAACTGAGAGTCTTGTAGGGTTGTCTTTTCACTTACAATTTTCCCCTTAGAACCTCCTCTGTCCCCACGAGGGTGAAAGAGCACGTGATTCCTTTTTCACGTGAGATTCTCCATCATTCCTTATAGGGTACAATAGGATCAAGTTAGGAGATCCAGTCATTTCCAAAAGGTAATCAAAAAATGATAAGGAAGGTGGAGAAATCATTTCTTCTTACCATAGGCTTCTATTACATGCAATTATTATTATTAATTATTATTATTTTTAAAGTTTACTTATTTATTTTGAGACAGAATGCAAATGGGGGAGGGGCAGAGAGAAAAAGGAAGAGAGAAAGAATCCCAAGGAGGCTATGCACCGTCCATGCATAGCCCTATGTGGGGCTCAGACTCACCAACTGGGAGATCATGACCTGAGCTGAAGTCAGACGTTTAACGGACTGAGCCACCCAGGAGCCCTGTATTTCATGCAATTATCACAGAAGGGCTACTAAACCTGACCAGAGAAAGGGGTTCCTGGAATAGACTGGGTGTCCTAAGTAGGTGTGTTCTCTACAGCCCTTTAAGATGAGATGACTCACCAGCCTTTTCTTTCTTTTTTGATCCTTCCAGAGCGCTGTGATGACTGGGGACTAGATACCATGAGGCAGATCCAAGTGTTTGAAGATGAGCCAGCTCGCATCAAATGCCCGCTCTTTGAACATTTCTTGAAATACAACTACAGCACAGCCCATTCAGCTGGCCTTACTCTGATCTGGTATTGGACTAGGCAGGACCGGGACCTTGAGGAGCCAATTAACTTCCGCCTCCCTGACAACCGCATTAGTAAGGAGAAGGATGTGCTCTGGTTCCGTCCCACCCTCCTCAATGACACGGGCAACTATACCTGCATGTTAAGGTAGCCTGATTCTTGGTGGTGACTTTCTCTTTTCCCTTTAGTTCTGGGGCTTTTTTCCAGGTGGTATATCTGTTATGAAGCTGGGGAGGGGGAAGGAAGCATCTAGACAGAGTTACACCTCACCTCAGTGGTTTAGCAGAGGTTCCCTGAAAGAGGTGTGCAGAGAAAATGGCTGTACTCCTCAGAACGTTCTTTATAAGTGGTTCCCTTTCAAACCCTGGCATATATCAAGATTATCTAATGCTGGAACCATGTTTATTTGTTCCTTTTCCCTGACATTAGAACCTACCTACATTTATGCCCTATCTGGAGGCGTCTATTTCCCTAGACAATGAGCAGGGTGGGGAGGAGAACCCATTTATATCTGTTATTCTTGGCATCTTTCAAAGTGCCAGGCATAGAATAAAGCCTTTGGATGCCTTATGGAAGAAAGAGTATTTGGTAAACATCAAATGCATTTAGAACAATCTCTTTCAAACTTTTCCACCAAAATCTGCTAGGAAGCAAATAAACACCATATCACTGGGAATCTAAGAATATAATCCAAAGCACCGTACCAATACTGCAAAATTCTTTCAAGTCAATTATTTTAATCTTGAAAGTTCATGCAAGATTTGCATTTTACTCCATAACATACCCGTTCTTCTGTTACCACAGATTAATATTATTTTTTGCTCTAAAAAATAAAAAAAACAGAGCCCCCTCTGAAGAAGAATAATTTGTTTTTATTATTTATTTATTTATTTATTTTTTAAATATTTTTTATTTATTTCTAGGAGAGAGAGAGAGAGACAACGTGAGCAGGGGAGGGTCAGAGAGAGAGGGAGACACAGACTCCGAAATTGGCTCCAGGCTCTGAGCTGGCAGTCAGCACAGAGCCCGACGCAGGGCTCGAACCCACGAACAGCGAGATCATGACCTAAGCGAAAGTCGGACGCTTAACCGACTAACCCACCCAGGCGCCCCTATTTATTTTATTTTTTTAATGTTTATTTTTGAGAGAGAGAGAGCACGCACTCACACATGAGTAGGGGAGGAGCAGAGAGAAAGGGAGACAGAATCCGAAGCAGGCTCCAGGCTCTGAGCTGTCAGCATAGAGCCTGATGCAGGGCTTGAACTCACAAACTACAAGATTATGACCTGAGCCGAAGTCGGACACTTAACTGCCTGAACCCCCCAGTGCCCCAAGAATAATCATTTTTTAAATGTTTATTTATTTATTTTGAGAGAGAGAGAGTATGTGAGGGCAAGGTAAGAGCAGAGAGAGAGAGAAAGAAAGAGAGAGAGAGGAGAATGAAAATCCTAAGCAGACTCCATGCTCAATGCATAACTGGATACAGGGCTCGATATAATGACCCTGAGATCATGACCTGAGCCAAAATCAAGAGTCACTTAACCAAAGGAGCCACCCAGGCGCCCCTAGAGAATAATTATTTTAAGGCTTAGTTCTTTAGCTAGTTTTTTTCCCAAGGTCCCTTTTTAGCATCCAGGCCTTACTTTGTTGTTTAAATTTCCATCTGGCTTATGGATAACTGTTTTGGTTTTTGGGTTTTGTTTTGTTTTGTTTTTGTTTTTGCATAGTTTCCTAACTATTTAATAGGTGCATTGTTTTGCGAGAGCTACCAAAACAAAATGCCACAGATTGGTGGCTTAAATACTAGAAATTTGTGTTCAGGAGGCTAGAATTTGAAGATCATGCGTTGGTATGGTTGATTTCATTTATCTCTCCTTGGTTCATAGATGGCCATCTTCTTTCCATGTCTTCACAGGGTCCTCTCTCTGTGTCATCTCTGTACTAATCTCTTCTTATAAGCACATCAGTCATATTGGATCACGGCCCACCATACTCCTTTTACCTTAATTACCTCTCTCAAGGGCTTGTCTCTAAAAACAGTCTCAGTCTGAGGTATTGGACATTAGGTATTCAACATAGCAATTTGGGAGACACAATTCAGCCCATAACAATAGGGCTGAATGACATAACAGTACAACAACATAGGCTAACATAACAATAGATAATCCCACGTTTTCTTCTGAATGCCCCTTGTCTCTCAAGGATATTAACTATTCTCTGATGGAAAAATATGACTGTGTTTTGATGTATTTAAGCTGTGTCATGATGAAGTGAAAAAGAACCTCTTTGTCATAGAGCATTTTCATCACTGAGGCCTTGGGAGTCCCTTGTTAACTTCTGAAGGCCCATTTGGAGTTTTCACCTGACTTTACTTTTACTAGAGTGGACTCTAAACTAGTGTGTAGGAGCTTGTGTCCACTGTCCATGTCCTAAGACAGTGTTGTAGGAGAGTTTAGGACAGATTATAGTAGAACGAGCACTGGAAGAAAAGACACAGAAACTAGGCCATCAGCCCAGCCCTGACACTCCTCAGCTGGTGACCTCATGCAAGTCAGTGTCTGAGAGCTTTGGTATCTGTATCCACCCAATGAGAAAATTAGCCTAAACACCTTGACCTCTTTTTTGTCTCTGATGATTGTTAATCCATTAACATTCCACATGTAGTGGAAATGCCTGGGGAGGGGTCATTGGTAGCTTTCTGGATGGCCTTGTTGTCTACTCTGCACTTTATTTATTTTATTTATTTATTTATTTTTCTCTACTCTGCACTTTAGTGTATTATTGTCTCTATTTCTGTTTCCTACTTGTCTAGAGCCCTTCCTCAAACTTTTCTAACCTTCTTTTACATTACAGGAGCAGCATGGCTGTTTAGGCCTGAGTGTTCCTTAAATGCTATTTATCAATTTCCAGATGGCCATATATTCAGTTTATCTGTCTGCCTATCTTCTGTATCCCCAAAGAAAATCTAGAATTGATCTTGTCTTGTGGGGACACCAGAAGTTTCCCACTGTCCTGAGGCGATTCCTAAATGGAGAATGACCTTAAACTGAACCATGTAAAATCAAAGGCCTGATGTCTTTAAGGCCATAAATTAAGATTTGTCCTCTAAGACGGTACCATTTGTATTCTTGCTACAATATCCTTCTTAAGATAACATCCAGATTTTACTTTTGGACTTGGGGAAGTCAGTCCCACCACCGTTCGTCATTTTTTTTAAAGTCAGAGAATATATCTTACAAAGTTGAACATTACCATCTCTATAATTTGCACTGTACAATGTTTCTTCCAGGGGTACCTGGGTGACTCATTCGGTTAAGTGTCCAACTCGGGGTTTTGGCTTAGGTCATGATCTCATGGTTCTTTGTAAGTTCAAGCCCCGCTTCAGGCTCCACACTATCAGTGCTTTGGGATTCTCTCTCTCCCCCTCTGTCTCCCCCTTCCCTACTCATGTTTTCTCTCTCTCAAAGTAAATAAATAAACTTTAAAAGAAGAATATTTCTTCCACGTGGTAGACCTTTTGCTTTCTGTAGGTAGAAATCAAAGCTGCTACTCTCACTTCTCACCTTATTGTCATAAGTCATCTTTAAACACCCCCTCTTCTCATCTTGGGGAGGGAAATGCATCTCCCTATTTCACTGTAGTTAGCCTCAATTAATTAGTTAATGAATATCTAATATGTGTTTGGCACCTTACATAGAAATCACAGAAAAGAGTGGACAGTGAATGACCCATTTACTCATCACCCTAAGAAATCAGTTACTTTCATTATCTGTGTTCCCTTTATTGTTTTCCCACACATAGACACATGTTTTACATCCATCCCATTCATTTAAGAAACATTTTTTCAGGGACGCCTGGGTGGCTCCATTGGGAAAGTGTCCCACTTCAGCTCAGGTCATGATCTCGGGGTTCATGAGTTTGAGCCCCATGTTGGGCTCAGAGCCTGGAGCCTACTTCAGATTCTGTGTCTCTCTGTCTCTCTCTGCCCCTCCCCTGCTCGTGCTCTGTCTCTCCCTCTCTCAAAAATAAATAAACACTAAAAAAATATATTCAGTGCCTTCTGAAAGTTTAGACACTGTATTACACACAAGGGACAAAAGAGAACACACAGTGGTCATGCCCTTGTTTGAGCTGTGATAAATTCAATCAAGAGAATGTCCAGCGTGCTCAGAGAAGGAGAGGACCCATTTAGAAATGGGGTGCATGGAGGAAGACATGAAAGGTGTCCATGTGAAAGGCAGGGTGATGGGAGGAGAGCCCTGGGCAGGCAGACAAAACAATGTGTGCAGACATTCAAAGATGAATACAATTCCCCAGTCATCCTAAAAGGTAAATACTTCAGTATATCAATGGTAGTTAATTGTGTCTGTTTTTATTTTGTGATGTCTAATTGGTATAGGAAATATCTCCATAATACATTTAATTCGTACATGAACTCACAGATAAATGAAATCTCCATATGTAGCCTTATTCCATTAGCTCATTTCAACAGGATTGCTGCATTAAATCAAATGAAAATGAGATTGTCCATGTATTGTGTATTTCTCTTTTCAGGAACACCACATACTGCAGCAAAGTTGCATTTCCTCTGGAAGTGGTGCAGAAAGATAGCTGCTTCAATTCCTCCATGAAACTGCCAGTGCATAGACTGTATATAGAGCATGGTGTTCAGAAGATCACTTGTCCAAATGTTGATGGGTTTTTTCCCTACAGTGTCAAACCAACCATCACCTGGTATATGGTAAGCAAGCTCAAGAGCATTTTGCCCTCTCTAAAATGGCAATAACTGTTGAGTTAATATAGAAAATGCAGCATTTCTCATCAGATTTTTTATTTCTTCCTTCATAACTTTATTCAAACCTTTTAACGCTTCCTCATTTTATGCCATTTTAAAGGGGGTCATAGAGAATGCTTTGCCTCCACTCACCATTTCCCAAATTACATTCACTGGACAACTAGAATTACTATATTTCTAATAATTTCCTATGAAATACCATTTGAGAAATACTGCACGCTTCTCCTCACTGCTGAGCGGGGTCAGCAGCTGCCCTTTCATCTGGTGTATTTCAGCACCTTGATTAGTCAGTACTTTGTTTTATTATTATTTGTGTGTGTTTTCGTGTTTGCCCTCATTTGTGGGCACAAGCTTTCGGTGGTCTCTTCCACATCTAAGAGACTTGGAAAATGTTTAACCAAAAGTCAAAGTGTTGGAAGGCGGCACCTGGGGTAGTGGCATTGTTGTTTAATCTCTTCAAATATCCACATAAGCCAAGGCTAAAAACTCTTGGACCACATGTAGAACGAAATCGAGTGACAGATTATCCACGAGATGTACTTTGAGTGAAGTGAGTAAAACAAACCACATATAGAATCCATGTCTAGGGGAGGAGGCAGATGGAAGGAACGTGGTATCTGGCAGACTTGACAGCGGGGAGCCCCCCAAAAAGCCCGTGGTAATCACTGGAAAGCATGGTGGGCCAATTTGAGAACTGAGCGGCTGAAATTAGGAAGAGTTATGCTCTCAAATAGGGGGTGAGTCCAAGCGGCCCATGTAAGAAGTTCTGAAGGGATCGAAATAGTTCAGGTGGCTCAGAACTCTGAACAAATGCCACCTCCACTCAGGACAAGCTGCTGGGGGTGTGATCAAAAGTAAATAGGATTGGGGCGCCTGGGTGGCTTAGTCGGTTAAGCGTCCGACTTTCGCTTAGGTCATGATCTCGTGGTTCGTGGGTTAGAGCCCCGCGTCAGGCTCTGTGCTGACTGCCAGCTCAGAGCCTGGAGCCTATTTCAGAGTCTGTGACTCCCTCTCTCTCTGACCCTCCCCTGCTCACGCTGTCTCTCTATCTCTCTCCTAGAAATAAATAAAACAATAAAAAAAAATTAAAAAAAAAAAAAAAGTAAATAGGATTATTAGGGCACTTGGGTGGCCCAGTCATTTAGGCATCTGACTCTTGATTTCAGCTCAGGTCTTGATCTCATGGTTCGTTAGATTCAGCCCCACATGGGGATTCTCTCTCTCCCTTTCTCTCTGCCTCTCCCACACTTGTGCATGAGCTCTCAACAAGTAAATAAACAAATAAATACATAATAAACTTTAAATTAGGTAAATAGGATCAGGACAATATAGAGGAGGAAGAGAAGGACCAGCTAAAAATGGAGGAGCAGAGAGGCTCAGGAAATCTCAGGATCCTAGTTTGGAAGAGAGATCTCTGTGAGGTTAGAAAATGCTGCCAAACTCAAAATCTCAGCAAAAAAATAACTTTACATAAAAATGAACAACAAAAAGAACCAATGGAAAAATCCCATTCAACGTTACAAGGAAAAGGAGACTAATAAGCAGAGTAACATTTCTTCCAAAAAAGAAAAAGCATGCCAGAGGACATACTATGACTTACTATTTCAAAAATGAGCTACAAGGCATTAAGAAATGATACAAGATGAGAAAGAATAATGTAGATAAATAAGAATTAGAAAAGTCCAGAAATTGTATAACCCAGTAAAAATTTAGAAAGAAGAAAATAAGTCATTTCAGAAATGAAGGCTAAAACTGAGAGGAACATAATTGAAAATGAATGTGATAGATAATGCCTTAAGATGAACAGAAAGCAGAAGGGAGAAAAAATTTAACATGGAAAATAAATGGTGAATAAAAATAAGGAGACTAGAATGGATATAGCAGTAACACATAAAGTAACTTTATCAGAGATAAAGAGGGCTTTTAAGAATAATAAAAGGGTCAGTTCATCAGGAAGCCATAAAAATAGTATATGTGCTTCACAGCAGTGTATCCAAATGCATGGAGCAAAACTTGGGAGATTTAAAGGAAGAAATAGGCAGTTCATAATCATAGGTTAAAATGTTAGCATCTGACAGTTTAAGTCATTAATGAAATGGCTTAGGATCCAACTTTAAGAGTTTTCCATTGGTTGAAAATGGAACATTTGAACTTCAGGAAGGATATTAGTCACAATGGGTTAAATCTTAAGAATTAGCTTCACAAGTTCATACCATTTAAAAATAATTGGTCACATTTGGTGGATGATACAAAATCAATTTGTAATCATAAAAACTAGTAAGGGAAATTATCAAGTATTTTTTTCTGCCTTTCCTGTAAGAAGTGTTCACTGAGTAACGAAATAGTACAGAGAAGTGTGTTTTTATAAAAGAATATAATCACTCCACAACCCCAATAGAATTAATAAATCTAAGCATTAAGCATCAGTGACTGGTACCATCATGAGAAAAGAAACAGCTAGACATATTCTTTCCCATGAAAGAATAAAATCCCACTTATAATTGTGCCCAATGGATTAAACCTGAGTCTGATTTGGATCCTACTGCCATTTTATAGGATATATAGAGGACAGGGGAATGTATTGATCTACACAATGAGTTTGCAGTCAGCAAAATCCATACTGGAAAATTCTATAGGCCTTGGATTATTCAACAGATAAGTTGCAAGAAGAAAGAAAGGCATGATGCGAGATTCAAAGAAACATAGAATAGACCTTTAAAAATGGATGAGACTGTAGTGTCTATGGAGGTGATGAAATTATAAGTGAAAACAAGAGAATGATTTTACTGTGAAAGTATAGATAATGACCCCTTTGGGGGGTAGTAAAAGTTCTGAGATTGACATGGGGCATGTGGAGCCTTTCAGGAGTGATGGGTACTGTTCTATTCCCGGACCTGAGTGGTGGTTATAAAGATATTTGCTTTATAATAATAGATTAACTCATACATACATTGGAGTGTTTTTGTATCTATTTTATGTTATAATAAAATGATTAAGAGGGAGGGAGAGAAGGAAGAAAGAGAATGAGAGAGAGAGAGAAAGGCTGATTTAAGGTATATAATAACTGATTGCAGTATATGGGCCTTCATTAAATCGTGTTTTATTCAACTTAGGAGAAAACCAGGGAGCTCTGAGCACAGAATATTGATAATACAATGTGTTGTTATTACTTTTTAAATTGTGATATGATACTGTAGTTATGCTTGCAGGAGGGGTCTTGTCACTTGGAGATGCGCACAAATATACTTACAAGTGAAATTATGGAATGTCTGTGATTTGCTTCACAATAATCCTGGGGTGCAGTGAGTAGGTGTAAATGAAATAGCCCGAATTAATACATTTGAGGCTAAGTATAGTTGCAGGTACAGGGGATCATTGTGTATATTATGATGGAATATGGAATGTTCCATAGTAAAATGCATAAAAAATGAGTAAAAGAATAATATGAACAAATTTATATCAGTAAGTGTAATGTATTTTCCAGTTTTATTAAGATATATTCTTCTATTTACCTGCAGTTGAGTTCTCTCATCTCTAACCTTGTTCACTTTTTCTGTACTTTGAATACTCAGTAGGCTGAAAAAATTAATTGTATTTCCTTATGCAGTCTATAAATTTCCTTCCTTTTTCTTGGTACATTCCCTATGCCTGGAATGTCCCCTAGTCTTTCATTAGAACAAATCAGATTCTACATCTTCATGAAATGTGTGTTCCTTGTTCTCTCCAGCTAGAAATAATTTTTCCCTGATATAATCCCACAGCTACTTATTGATGCCTGTCTCCATGTCACTTTTCACTTCCTTTATTGTTTTACAGTCATTTATATATACTTTCAACAGCTGTTAAGGACCAATTGTATTCAGTGCAATATGTCAGGGGTTTATAATGAATGTGATATATGTTCTACCCTACCTAGTTTCAAAAAGAGACCACAGTTTAATTCAGACACATTTACCAATAAGAATTCTTGGGGCCCATGGCCCCACACATCTGACTCTTGATATCTGCCTAGGTCATGATCTGATGGCTCATGCAATGGAGCCCTGTGCTGGGCTCCGTGCTGATAGTACGGAGCCTGCTTAGTATTCTCTCTCTTCTTCCCTCTCCACACCTCCCCTGTTCCCATGCTCTTTTTCCCATTCAGCCCTCAGTTTGTTCTCAGCATTCAAGAGTCTCTCGTGGTTTGCCTCCCTCCCTCTCCCCAACTATTTTTCCCCTTCTCCTCCCCCATGGTCCTCCATTAGCTTCCTCCTAATCCACCTATACGTGCAAACATGTGGTATCTGTCCTTCTCTGCCTGACATAGTTAGCTCAGCATAACACCCTCAAAGTCCATCCATGTTGCTACACAAGGCCAGATTTCATTCTTTCTCATTGCCATGTAATATTCCATTGTATAGATAAACCACATCTTCTTGATCCAGATAGCCAACAGACACATGAAATGATGCTCAGCGTCCTTCATCATCAGGGAGATACAAATCAAAACCACACTGAGATACCACCTCACGCTGGTCAGATTGGCTAAAATGAACAAATCAGGAGACTATAGATGCTGGTGAGGATGTGGAGAAACGGGCACCCTCCTACACTGTTGGTGGGAATGTAAACTGGTGCAACCCCTCTGGAAAACAGTATGGAGGTTCCTCAAAAAATTAACAATAGAACTCCCCTATGACCCAGAAATAGCACTGCTAGGAACTTACCCAAGGGATACAGGGGTGCTGATGCATAGGGGCACATGTATCCCAATGTTCATAGCAGCACTTTCAACAATAGCCAAAACATGGAAAGAGCCTAAGTGGCCATCAACTGATGAATGGATCAAGAAGATGTGGTATACCCATCTCTGTATTCTTAATGATTTCCAGAATTTTTGGTTTCCTGGAGAATGAATGTTGGTGCTATTAACTAAGATATGAAACCTCAGGGAAGGAGCAGGTCTG